ATAAAATATTTTTAAAATACTATTATTATTATTGTTGTTGTTGTTTTAATGTTGCCTTTTGTTGCATTGTTTTTTATATGGTTTCTTTGTGTTGCCTTTTGTTTCTTTTTGTTGTTAATTCTTGTTGTTGATGAATTTTCATATTTTATTTCTTATTGTTCAATTATGTTTCATGTTGATATATCTATTATCCAATATTATCATTATTGATGTGTGCACAAATTAAATGGAATCATAAATAAACAACGCACAATGAATATATATAAACTTTCATAGTTGAAAAGACATTAAAAAAACAAAAGTCAAAATGGAATATAATGTGACACAATAAGAAGAAACAAAAAAACAACATGATGCAACAAAGTGAAACATGATGCAACAAGAAACAACAAAAAACAACATGAAAGAGCAACAAATAGAAACAAATAAATATAACAACAAATGATCATATTGAGTTAATACACATTTCAGCTTAGATGTGTGTTATACACACATGTTGAATTACTACACAAATGGCATCATAAGCAACAAACCAAAATCAACAGTAAACAATAATAAGCAATATCATGCAACACAATGCAACAAAAGGCAACATCATGCAACATAATGCAACAAAAAGCTACATGTGTGATACAACAAAAAGCAACAAAAAATAATGCATAAAATTATCACAACAATATATAGTCCGCTCTTCTTTGAATACATGGGATAGGAACATATATATATATATATATATATATATATATATATATATATATATATATATATATATATATATATATATATATATATATATATATAGTCCAAATATCATTTGAATATATTTCATTTATCTAGTACACCAATTAGTTTGGTTTTTATGTTATCTCAAAACACAAATCATCAAGTTTGTCTCCACTATCTTCACTTTCCTCATCAATCTTCCCAGACTTACATTTTCGTGTGCCTCTTTTTAGTACATGCCTGTAATGAGAATGAAATCACTATAGCATAAATAAATAAATAAAAATTACCAGGAACCAGTACAGTACACATATATGACTGACTAATGCAGCAAAATATATAACGACTACAAGGTAAAGATATATGAACAAAAGGACGTAAAAATGAAAATTACCTCAACTAATCTACGAAGAACCAATGAAGGGGTATAAACTTTACTACCTCAATCTTTGGAATAATATAAGAATCCTTAAAAACAGAGAACCTTGCTTGGTTGCATATCACATACGCAGTACATAAGTTACCCAAACATGCTCTTACTTTTAATACGTCATAGAGCAGACAAACCTAAACACTAATTTATCAAGGGCAAATCGCATATCCGATGTACTCAACATTGTGCATAAAAAACTATGAACAGTAACACATTCAAAAAGGAAAAAACTCACACTACACTTTAAGTACCTCTTTGCTTTCTGGATGAAGCAAAAAAGCAACACAATCAATAATATTGGCAATTCCAATCGCCTTTTGCTGCAACACAAGTACACAACATTTTAAAAACGCCACAAAATTGATATAAACTATATCTTCCTTGAATAGAGTAGTGAAAGTAACCAATGAAGAGCAAACAAATAAACCTTTGCTAATAAGATTATGTCAATGGTCAAAGCAGAAGAGATATTGCAAAAAGGAATTTATAAATGACCAAACAGTGGACCATATTTGAACAACATTAAGAGAAACCATCTGGAAACTAAAATTGTCAAAAAAATAGTTAACCTAGGACAAATTAGAATGAAAAGAACAACATTAGAATCTCTCAATCCTATCATTCATAAGTATCTAGTCAACGAACTAAGATAAAACCTCAACAAAACCAGAATATGTAATAAAAACTTGAATTCTAAACACACATACACATATAAAGTATAACAAAATGACATAACAGTAATCTAAAATATGTAAGCAAATTTAACTGCGTCTTAGGAAAAATCGCAGAGTAAAAGCACAAGGAAAATCGCAGAGTAAAAGCACAAGTAAAAGGTTCATCAATAACCTTAGCGATGGAATCCTCAGAATTATCGAATTTCTAGGCACACTATCGATAGATCCCTCTTCGATTCTCGACAGGGAAGCATCAGCAACGGTAGATCTCCCAATTACAGCCGTTGGAGCAGAGAATACAGATGGCGGGGCCATCATTGTATTAGATACTCTGAACTTGTCCTGTGGCGTTGGCGACTGTGAGAGTGAGGCGGCGAATTCCATATCTGAACCGCACCTCCTCGAGTGTTTTAAGTCGGAGAGGGGGGCGAAGGTCGCTCGGCGATGGAGTTTTGGGGCTGGACGGAAATTAGAGCTCGTTGCAGGAGGAAAGGGGCGAGGGTGAAATCTACGATGGTTGCTGGTGGTATTACTTTGTAAGCTATATTTGAAATTAAACTTGCAAAAGTGAAAAGTTAAAAGTCTACAAATGAAAAAACAAATCCAGTGGGCTATAAAAGAAAGACGGATGGCAATAGTGGCTAACACGGGATATTTCCACAAAATAATACTCCTAGAAAAGTTGTACTATTGTCTTAACAAAACATTTTTGGCTTTGTACAGGGACGGACCGTAGTACAGACCCAGGGGGGCCGCTGCCGCCCCCCCAACAATTTTTTTTAATGTATATATATACAAAATTTTTATTTTTACCCCCCCAACATTTAATTCTCGCCCCTCCAAGAAAAATTTTGAACCCCCCCAAAAAATATTTTCTCCCCTAAAGCATAGCCCACTCGCAGAAACCCAATTGTTTAAGAGCCTAAAAAAATAGAAATTTTACAAGTAATATTATATCAACTCACTCCAAAATTTATTCCCCATTAACCCACCCCAAAATCTAATCCCAGCCCACAGCCCAGACCAAACTAATGAAAAACTTGCGCACCTAGAAGAAAGAAACAGAAAGATCGATTATTTTTAAATGATTGTCCTTATGCTTACTATGTTCATTGCTTAGCATATCAGTTGCAATTAGCATTGGTTGCTGCTTCTAGAGAGGTGGAATATGTGCACAATTTTTTCATCGATTCAGTCTTTATTATTAATGTGACTAATTCTTCTTGCAAACGAAGTGATGAATTAAAGGAAGCTCAAGCACTTGAAATTGCAAGAATGTTGGAAATTGGTGAGCTTGAAACAAGCAGAGGACTTAATTAGGTTGGTACATTACAAGTCTGGGGAAACTCGTTGGAGCTCACATTTCAATTCTGTTTGCATTTTGATTAGGATGTTTGTTGCAACTTGTTCTGTTTTAGAAGATGTTGAAGAGAATGGCAATAACTATTTTACTCGTGGAAATGCAGCTAGAGAACTTAAGAAGATTAAATCTTTTGATTTTGTTTTCTTGTTGCATCTTATTAAAGAAATTATGGGCATTACAGATCTTCTATGTCAGCATATACAGAAGAAGTGCAAAGACATAGTAAATGCTATGCATTTGGTGTCAAACACCAAAATGTTGATCCAAAAGTTAAGGGAGGGTGGATGGGATAACTTCTTAGAAATTGTTAAAGAGTTTTGCACAAAGCATGAAATTGAAGTTCCTAATATGAAGTCTCCTTATGCGGTAAAACCGTAAAACGCAAATGCCATGATCAAGAAGGGTTTGATATTGAACGTCACTATCGGGTTGATATGTTTTACGCAGCCATAAATTCATAATTGTTGGAGCTGAATAGTAGATTCGGTGAACAGATAATGGATCTTCTTACTCTTAGTGGTGCTTTGGATCCTAAGGGCTCATATAAGTCTTTTAACATTGATGATATCTGTTCTTTGGTGGATAAATATTACCCCTTTGATTTTATTGAGCAGGAGAAGGTGAGTTTGAGGTTTCAATTGTAACATTATAAGCTCAATGTTCTAAACCATCCAAAGTTGGCAAATTTTTCTACAATGGGTGAACTTTGTCAAAGATTAGCGGAGACGGAGATGTCAAAAGTGTACTTTCTTAGCTTGTTGATAAATTGATCCGACTTTTGTTGACTCTACCGATTTCGACAGCAACAACCGAAAAGACTTTTTCCGCAATGAAAATTATAAAAACAAGGCTTCGCAATAAAATGGAGGATGAGTATGTTGCAGACAACCTTATTGTTTATATTGAAAGAGAAATTGCTAAAACTTTTGACTAAAAAGCCGTGATTGAGGAATTTATCTCATTGAAGAAGCGTTGGGTACATTTCTAAGATACTAACTTTAACTATTTTGTAATAATATATTTGTCTCTTCTTCTATTATAATGCTTCATTTAATTACTACTCCGTATTATATTAAGGTTATAACTTATAATAATAATCGCCTAGATTTTTTTTGTTTAAATTATCGCCCCCCCCAATATCAATTTCCTGGGTCCGCCCCTGGCTTTGTAAGAAAAAAAAAGAATGACACCCCATCCCTGAGAGCCCCCCAACACCGACCAGACGGCACGATTGGAGGATGTAAATTGGAATATAATCACAATTTGATAGATAAAGAGTGAGACTCTGTCCCCGGTACTTGCAGAGGCCATATGCATTTTTCAGCATAGTAACCCCTCATCGCAGTTGCCGGGATTCGAACCCGAGACCTAACCCTTGTGACATTCTCTCGCTATCAGTTGAGCTACGCCCACCGGTTGGCTTTGTAAGAAAACAATACTCCTTTTTAGCTTGTAAGGAAAAAACAATTTTCAATACCTAGGACGCAATATTAGCCAAAGAATAAAAGACCATAGAAGAAAAATGTTAAAATGATCATAGGCCGGATCGGAACTTTATAAAACTGTTTCTACGTTTGAAAGATAACGAAACAAATCACTATTTCATCACCTCATGTCATGAAAGAAACTTAAATTGAACATATATGCCAGTGTTGACATTATACTCCGTATTCGGAAAGCGCTTTTTAAATTAAAAACATTGGCTAAGAAGTACTTCGTAGTACTATGTACTTGTCTCTATTTACCCTAGCGAGAGCTGAGGGGTTGGAATTTCGTCGGCGAAGTCTTCGTCGTCTTCGTGCGGCGTTGGGTATCGACGTGGCTATGCCGTCGTTTGTTTGCGGCTTGGTCAATTGCGGTAGCAAGACGATGGAGGACGGTTCAGCCGGCAGACGCAAGGATGATCGTGACCGAGAGGAAGAGCAGGTGGGTGATTTACGAATAGATGATGATGGGGCTTCTGAATCCGACTTCAGGGCGGCAACGAGAGAGGTAATCAATCAAGCGACGAAGGTCCGGCCTCCTCCTGAACCACTGCCACGAACTGCACGAGGTGCTACATACTGTGCTAGGGTTCAAGATTTTTACTTTGCTTATTTAGTTTTTCTCATGTTTTGTCCTCCTCCGATGAGACTTTATTATTTTGTCATTTGGTTTCTCATTACTGTCTATGTTGTTAGGTGTGTCAGTCTGTTTGGGATTTTAGCCTTTGTTCAGGTCATTGGGTATGTTTGGATCTTTGGAGACAGGAATGATTGTGCCAAGCCCGTTACATGGTTAGCGATTCATGTTGCTCTTTTCAGGGGTGACCGTCTCTGAGTCTCACCATAGAGTTTACGGTCGTAGTTGTTAGTGTCTGGTTGGTGTCAGATTTGTTTTTCATTTCATTAATGTAATGATTCTGAAACTTATGATATGAATAAAGGCTAGTTTTCGTTCAAAAAAAATTAAAAACATGGGCTATTGTTTAATTCATGTTTCTCAAAATTAAAAACCCAAATCAATATATTGAAATAGTGCATTCCGTAAATTAATTATACAGTGGAATCAAACGATACATGCATGGTATATTGGTACTAGTTTTGTGTCGCGCGTTGCGCGATAGCGTAATGCCCAATATTTTTTTTACCTAAGTTAAACATTATGTTTTTTTTTCATTTGGTTCTCTTGCTGTATTTGAATTTCACACTTGTTTTGGTAGCTTCAACGTTAATTATTTAAATAGATTGTATAAGTGAAAATTCTCAAAATAGGAGTAAAAATGTTTTGAAATTCTTAAATAGGACATTCATATTTTTATTTTCTAAATATGAGTAATTACTGCAAAAGTTGAAAATTTTTGTCATGCTTATAGTATGGAAATGATAAAACATGATAATAATTACTCTTATTTAGGAAATAAAAACATTATAATTATAATTTGGAATTCACAAACGTTTTACTCCTATTTAGGACAATTTTTGTTGTATAATTCAAACATAAACTTGGAATACCCCATTTCAAACGAAATTACTAATAGATACCTCAAACTTATGAAAGGTAATTAAATTTGGAACTCGTTCATTTATGAGCAGCTTAAAAATAAGAGCGCCCTATAAGTCATTTATTTATAACTTATTCTGTATCAAAATAAGTGTCAATTTTTTCATTTTTTGGAAGTAACAAATGAATGTCACATTTTTATTTTATAAAGAGATCTACCCCAAAAGCAACTACATTACACTTTAATAAAGTAAACAGTGTTTGTACAGTATAAAAAATCTCCTACTTTTTTAGGAAAATGTACAATAAATGTATAAATTATCTTAAACTACGCGAAAAACATATTAAAACACCTATTTACGTTACAAAAGGAGTATATAAAAATTAGCAACATAGGAGAAAACTTCTGAGTATTAGAAGAAAAACCACACCTACCAAATAACAAAGTGGACAAATTAATACGGAGCATGCAACTCCCTTTCTTTCTAAAGGAGTTCAATCGTCACAATAAAAGCTAACGGAGTATGTAATTAATAAACACTAATAATCAATTGGAAAAATTGATAAGATTAATCTCACATTTCACTCGTCTTCTCATAATAATCCTACCTTTACATAATCCCAAAATAATTCCAACTTTGCACCACATCTTCTTTCATTGGACCCTGACCAAGTTTTTTCCTTTGAAAATCTTATATAAATAATCTCACATTTATAAAGATATAATATAAAAGTGAAAGATGAGATTATTTATATGATTTTCACAAAAATTAAAGAGTAAAAAACATGGTCAGGGTCCAATGAAAGAAGATGTGGTGCAAAAGTTGGATTATTCTGGGATTACCTAAAGGTGAGATTATTATGAGAAGACCAACGAAAGTTTGGATTATTTTTGTCAATTTTTCCTAATCAATTTAGAGTGAGTGAACATTGGAGCAGACACACAAAAACGGAAAAATGGAGTTAAAGTTAACGGAGATAGTGTCATAATTGGGTAAAGAAATGGTTGTACAATAATTTAAGCATACAGATCAAGTTAATATTGCTTTGATGTTACACCAACATTTTTTTCATTCCTAAAACACCCTAACCTTCATTGGTGTTTATAAGATTTTAGATTTAGATGCTTGTTTCAATACGACGTCATTGGTTCATCGTTTTCACCCATCTATCTCTCCTGCGGCACTCCTTTGTTACTCCCTCCGTCCCTAATTTATCTTCCAAATAGGTTTGGCACACAGTTTAAGATAGTGGGTATTGTGTGGTGGAGAGTTGTGCAGAGGAGAGAGAAATGTGTAAGAATTATTGTGAACCACAAATTCTTTGTCAAAAAGGGAAAGTGGAAGTTTTAATTGGGACGGACGAAAAAGGAAAGTTGGAAGTTTATTTAGGGACGGAGGGAGTATCAAATACTAAGAATACAGTCCCTTTCTTGCTCCTTCATTTTCAAATTAAATTATTAAAAGACCTATTTTTTCTCTATCAAGTCACAACTAAAGTTTTATTTGAAAGTTTATGAGCCCGTTTGGTGACCCTTTTTTTTTGGCTTATCAGGCTTATCAGTCAGCTTTTCACCAAACACGTAACTTTTGATTTCACGTGCTGAATTGTGTAATAAGCAGAAAAAGTAAGGTTGAAGTTACTTTTCTGGTTGTATTGACTGAAGTTACTGTAGAGGATCATTTTAGCTATTTTTGAATTTTTTTCATATAATTTTTTATTTTATTTACTAATAACAAAAATTTTAAATATAATTTTTTCATGAATCAGCAGAATCAGCAGAATCAGCCAATACAGCCACTTCAGTCAGAACTTCATAAATTTCAGCAGAATCAGCCAATACAACCAATTTTAGTGTTACCAAACAGGCTCTATATTTGCATTTGAAAGTCCGTAATTTCCTTCAAACTCCACCTTAAATTTGTAGGTATGTGTCACTCATATTTGGAATCTAAGGGAGTGTTTGGAACTGATTCTGATCCTGCTTCTTTTTTAAAGCCGAAGCAGAAGCAGAATCAGTTTTCAGAAGCTGGTACTCCCCAGCTTTTAAAAAAATTGATTCTGGGAGTAAATTAGAGCACCCGAAGTGCTTCCGGAATTTCACTCAAACACTCCAGTTTCTGCTTCTGCTCCTTGAAGGAGCCGAATCAGTTTTGAGAATCAGATCCAAACACCACTAACAAAGCTTATCGTGTTCCATGAGTTACGTAAAAATACATTACACTAATATATTTAGCACTCACAGTTTACTTTTTATATTACACGACTTACATATTTGAAATACATAGTTTACATTTGTATAACGTGATTTACAAATTTGACACATGTTTATAGTTTTATAACGTGCATGACTTACATTTCTTTACCCACGCAGTTTACATTTTGTACGATATCACTTACATGTTAAATAGTTAAAAAGAGATACGGAGTATTACTTTTTTACACACACTATTACATTTTGTGTAACTTCTGATACAGAAGTGTTTCGTATAATTCGTATCCTTGTGTTCAATAATCGAAACAGACACGTGTGTTCTCAGAAGTATAGTCAAAAACTATTTATATTTTTATACAGAGTAATTAATATCCTTCCACTTTATTTTGTTACTTGCAAATATACCTTTTCCCAGAATTTAAGAGTGAAATCTTTCAAAAAAGAATTTAAGAGTGAAGTTATGTGTACTGAATAGTGTACAAAAAGAGTAAAAGATATGAAAGAAGTGACGATTAAGAACATGTTCCTCCGTTCGCCTGATTTGAATGTTTTTTATGAGAACTTTTTAAGATCTGATCTGATGAAAAATGTGAAAAACTAAGAACTTGTTTGGTAGCACAAATTGGCTCAACCCATCGAACCTACTCAAATTGATACGAATAATAAAAACATTATATGAAAAACTACCAAAATGATATTCTACAGTAATTTTAGACAATTGGACCTGAAAAGCAACACCAACATTACTTATTTTGATTATTACACAATTCAACTCGTGAAATAAAAAATTATGTATTTTGTAGAAAACTTGGATTAATAAGTTAAAATAAGGAGTTACTAAACGGGTTTCAAAAGTAAAAGTGATACATACATGTTGCAAGTAAATAAAAAAAGAGTGTGTATGTATTCTGTTACTATAATTTGAAGATTTTTTATTTATTCCCAAGTGCATTGAAATAATGCGACTTCCTTCATCCCATATTTGACTCCACTCTTGAAGGTAGCATAAGAATTTTGAGAAAGTAGAAATTGTGTAATGAAAAATGAAAGAAAAAAGTTTATGTCGCACAATAATTTTAGTCTCCAATTCACATGAATAACTCTTGTTTTGACTCCAAAGGGGGTACAAAATTGGAAATTGAATTTTTAAAAGTTTTTTGGAGGAGAGAAATATTGTGGACTAAGAAGTTTAATTACGGAGTATGTTTTTAACAAGTGTTTCGAAGTGAAAAGAGAGTAGTTTTAGTTTGGGGCCAATGCAGCAACGGAGATATACTGATATAGACGTGGTCGATATATGGAACTCTAAAATCCTATCCACCTATGAAATCCACACTTGGCTTGGAGTTAATAACAACCACAAAGCTAAGATACAATATTAATGTACTGCACACCCAGTAATAACAACAATAAAAGGAAATTCTCCCAAATTCTTCCTTGATGCCACACAGAACAGGATCACCAAAATACTGATTTGAGAGAGCAAATTAAAGTTTGATGGCGCAAACTATGTTGCTGAGTGCCAGTGCTGGAGCAGCAGCATTGGACCTGAAGACACAATCCTGCAGTTTCCTTCAACCCTTCAGATCGAAACCTGCATTTCATCAGCATCTTCTTTTGTCTGGACCTCTTACCTCCCCCACTCCTTCTTCTTCTGGGAAAGTTTTCAGTCTCTTCAAATCAAAACCCAAAGCCCCACCAGCTAAGACTGCACCCTTTCAAGTTTCAACTATGTTTTTTTTGGGTTTTAATGCTTTTGTCATCAATTTTTCTATCTCTTCAAATTTTTGGTTGAAAGGGTGGAAGTATTTAATTAGAGACATTATGGTAACATGAATAATTGATGTATGCAGGTTGTCAAGACCAAACCTAAGGTGGAGGATGGGATTTTTGGTACGTCCGGAGGGATTGGATTCTCCAAGCAAAATGAGCTCTTTGTTGGTCGCGTGGCTATGATCGGGTTTGCGGTTTGTCTCATTTTCCTTGGATTATTTATTCATTTTAACACATAAGCAAAAATTAGTGTTTGTATAACTACTAAGAGCTAGTTTGGTAGCATCACAATTGAGTAAATTGGTTGAAATTGAAGAAATTGTGATGGACTAAATTGGCTGAATCTGTTTAATTATGAAATAAATATTTAAATATATTTTATTAAGGAAAAATTGACAAGAATAATCTCACCTTTCACCGGTCTTCTCATAATAATGAATAATCCCATCTTTAAATAATCCCAAAATAATCTCATCTTTGCACCTTATCTTCTTTCATTGGACCCTGACCATGTTTTTAACTCTTTCTTTGAAAATTATACAAATAATCTCACCTTTCACTTTTTAATTATATCCTTATAAATGTGAGATTATTTATATAAGATTTTTAAAAAAGTTAAAAAACTTAGTCAGGGTCCAATGAAAGAAGATGATGTGCAAAGGTGGGATTATTTTGGGATTATTTAAAGGTGGGATTATTATGAGAAGACCGGTGAAAGGTGAGATTATTCTTGTCAATTTTTCCTTTTATTAATAAAATAAACAACAATTATATGAAAAATAACTAAAACTTCCTCTTCAAACAGTTCTCTCAGAAAATATTTAATTTACTGATAAGAGTGATAAGCTAAAAATAGAGGTTAGAAGGCCTAAATTATTGTATACTACGGTTTTATACATTTTGAGCTGCAGAGTAAGACATGTTTACTCGACTTATTTTGACCTGACTAGCTTTGAATATGGGAGGTTATATTAAATCTAATTAAATTAAACGGGTAAATTTCCATTTGAATGAATAAATACTCTTATACTCATTATGAACTTTATGTGCCAATAGTTGCAAAGCTTTGGTGGAAGGCACCTAATATATAATATTGGGAAACCAATATATTTCGGAAATTTGAATATAGGCAAGGTGATTTCCCAATCCTATGTTTTGTTAGACTTGTCTAATAATCTGTACATATTATCCCCACCCATATAATCCATGCTGAATCAGCTTGATGTTAATCAAACTTTAACTTTTAGTAGTAGTTTAGAGGATCTGATATCATATAAGATTTAGAGCCGGTTCGGTAACACAAAAATCGGATGATTTGGCTGATTCTGCTGAAATTTATGAAATTCTGGCTGAAGTGGCTGCATTGGCTGATTCTGTTTATTTAAGAAAAAATGTATGTTTTATTAATAAAATAAAGAAAAAATTATATGTAAAAATAGCTAAAATGGTCATCTACAGTAACTTCAGCCAATACAGCCAAAAAAGTAACTTCAACCTTACTTTTTCTGCTTATTATACAATTCAGCGCGCGAAAGCAAAAGTTACGTGTTTGGTGAAAAAGCTGGTTGATAAGCCTGATAAGTCGAAAAACAGTGTTGGCAAACGGCATCTTAGGTTTATATTCTAAAAGATTGCCTTCATAAGTAAGGTTGTAAACGAATCGAATCGAATCGAATAGTGAGTAAAATTATTCGTATTCGTATAAATTGACGAATATTCGTATTCGTATTCAGATATTATTCGAATCTTAAAATAGATTTGTATTCGATTTGTTAATGATATTTGAATATGTTTGTATTTGAAAATTCCAATTCGAATATTTGTAGTGTAAAAAAAAAATCACACATTCAAATTATGATGTATTGTATGTTTTTTTCGGTTTTCACAAATATGTCTATTAAATGAACTATTTCAAAAAATCGGCTACTTCAAAAATCAAATGGAAACCCATTCAAATAAATAAACATTGTAAAATCAATTAATCAAAAAATCAATTACTTCAAAAAATATATTAATGAATGCGCGAAATTAATTACGAATCGAATATATTCGAATAAGATACGAATCGAATACATGTATATTCGTATTCGAATTTTATTCGAATACTAAAAACGATTCGTATTCGGATTCGTATTCGATTTTTTCGAATTTGAATCATCAATTTCGAATTCGAATCACGAATCGAATCAAAATTATTCGATTCGTTTACAACCTTATTCATAAGGAGTAGCTCATGATCTCTTGATTTTAATGATTTATAAAGGAATTGTCCTAAATCATAAACAGAAAGAGGTTTCCATAAAGAGTACTACTGGTATGTTTTTTCACAAACAAAATTGATCATTGTTATCTACTTATCTTGATATGATATTGTTGCCGTTACAACAATGATGACGGGTAATGCTAGAGCGTAGTAATACTCGACCCCTATTTTGGAAAGAAAACATAGTATTGGGAAACCATCTTACCTATTGTAGGAACTTTCTCTTATTTATAAAGTCAGATAAATACTCTAATGTGACTAATGTTAAAAAGTAATTTAAGATGAGAATGATTATAACCTGTAATAATATGTGATAGTGTTATGATATATGTCTGCAAGGCATCATTGCTGGGGGAAGCAATAACAGGAAAGGGGATTTTGGCACAACTGAACCTGGAAACTGGGATTCCCATTTATGAGGCAGAGCCTCTTCTTTTGTTCTTCATACTCTTCAATTTGTTGGGAGCTATTGGAGCTTTGGGAGATAGGGGCAAGTTTGTGGATGATCCTGAACCGCCCACTGGACTAGACCGAGCCATTATCCCGCCCGGAAAAGGCTTCAGGGCAGCTCTGGGGCTCAGAGAAGGGGGTAATGTTCATCTCCTTATCTGAATAATGCATCCATTACTTTCACATGTGGCTGGTATTCTTAACTTTGGCGATGAATGATGAATGTTGTAGGTCCTCTCTTTGGATTCACAAAGGCAAACGAGTTGTTTGTTGGGAGATTGGCTCAACTGGGAATTGCATTTTCTATAATTGGAGAGATCATTACTGGAAAAGGGGCACTTGCCCAACTCAACATCGAGACCGGCGTACCCCTAAACGAAATAGAGCCATTGATCTTGTTTAACGTCGCTTTCTTCTTCTTTGCAGCCATTAATCCCGGCACCGGGAAATTTGTCACTGATGATGGAGAAGAAGATTAGTACTTCTCTTTTTGACATAATCTTTTAAAAATATAATGTTAGTTCACACTGAAGGATGTACAATGTGGATTCCACCAAGCCATTTAGTTTTAAAACTGCTGACACCTATTAGTCTCTTCTTCCTCTATTTTCAGGGGTTTAATAAAAAAATTCCACAACCCTCCAAAATAATGTTACTTCCTACAAGAAATAATCATTTTCTTTTTCCACGAATTATTTCAACTTGATTATAAGAAAACCCGCCACAAGGAGATCATCAAAGAAAAATGGACATACAAGAAGACCCCAGAGCTAGAATATATGTGCTCCATCAGAAAACAAACAAGCCTAATGTTCATATGGCAGGCGTATTCGCTATCTCTTAGTAAGTTGGGAGATTTTTTAACGACACACAACGGTAAAGTGAAAAAATCATCTATCTAATGTGAGGAATCAGAATTAGGGCTTGTTTAGATTTTGGCGTTTCAACCTACGATCCGCATTGTAGTGTTTCTTGTTTCAACCTACAACCTATAAATAGTTTTTGTAAGGGATAAGGGTCACATAGGACCTCGAACTTGGAAAAAAATGTCAAATAAGGCCATATTTAGGATGCTATGTCCGGTTGACGCCATTTGGGGCGGTTCCCGGTGGAATTTTTTGATGAATTTTTTTGAGAATCTTATTCATTAAGTCTAGTTTACTCATATCAAATTTGAACTAACAATTCAATCGGGAAGGCATTCAAATGAATTCTTCAAGATTACTGTGCTTTTAACTGCACAGTTATCTTCAAGAATTCATTTGAATGTCTTCCCGATTGAAGTTTTAGTTCAAATTTGATATGAGTAAACTAGACTTAATGAATAAGATTCTCAAAAAAATTCATAAAAAAAATCCATCGGGAACCGCCCCAAATGGCGTCTGCCGGACAGAGCATCCTAAATATGGCCTTATTTGACATTTTTTTTCAAGTTCGAGGCCCTATCTGACCCTTATCCCTTTTTGTAATGATAAAAATTGTAATTATATCAATTTTATTGTGTTAACTTTATAGTACTATCTCTTCGTTCTTTAAAACCTTGTCTCCCCCCCCCCCCCCCTCCCCATCTACAACATTTTTGTTATACTCATTTTATAATATCATGTCAATGCTCATTTACATATATTATAAAAATTGAGGGAGAATTTGACTTTGCTCTCCATTTGTTTGTTCATATTTGATTAGGAATCGTATTTTCAAAATCATTAATATATGCATTCAATTCACTATAAATTAAATCATTTGGCTTTGCACCTCTGCCCCTTCACAATTTTTAGACAGACGGGGGGGGGGGGCACACATTTATGACTTTGGAAATTGAGTACAAAGTTCAATACCGCCCAACACATGAGCTGTCAAGTCAAATTCACCTAAAAAAATTAACTTATTTAACTCACACATGTAATATATTCATTACAGAACAATTTAATATAATTATATTCATTTAACAAATTACCAATGGATTTAATTATGAGAAATGTAACAAACACAGTAATTAAAGTACAATTACCTATTTTGATAATTTCACAATGTTACATCAATGCACACTCCTAAAATCTGAGCCGAAACCAAATTGACTTTATCCGGACCCAAAAGTCATTACTCGAATATTAGTCGGTTTGAAATCACTTTTGGATGCTAAAAACCAATTCATGTTATGAACAAGGCCAAAAGCTTAACTCTTTATTAGCATATAACACATATTTATACAGGGGGAAGGGATTAGGGTTACTAGATAAATGGGCCGACTACATGGGCCGGGGAGAGTAATGGACATTCACATATTACATAACACTCCCCCTTGGATGTACATTGCTAAAAATACATTACAAGAAAAATATGCATTCTCTCTTTATACATTTTGGTAATGCTGCCTCGTTAAAAACCTTGCTGAAGAAAACCCAGTGGGAAAAACCTTGGTCAAGGGAAAAAGAGTGCAGCTCATATATACTCCCCCTGTTGACTGCATCACTTCAGGTCATCTTGCTGAATCCATTTCAATCCAATCAGGTTGCTAACTTCTTGAATGAATTATGGTACTGTGTGTATGCCTCGTTAAAAACCTTGTTGGAAAAACCCTTTGGGAAAAAACCAATCAAGGAAAAGAGTACATAATATATGTAAAATGATGTGTTGTATTGACTGCCCCGTTAAAAACCTTTAACTAAGAAAACCATGCGGGAAAAACTTAGTAAAGGAAAAGAGTACAGTCATTGGCCTTCGGGGCCTAATCTTCTGGATTGCATTTGAATTTACTCTTCTAGAGAAAAATAATACTCCAAATTTTATGTATCATAATATGTTATTTCAAAGTCACAAACTGCCTCGTTAAAACCTTTGACCAAGAAAACCCTATGGGACAAAACTTGGTTAATGAAAAAGAGTACAGTTGCATATGGTCTTCTGAACCAATAAATTGTTCGATCTCACAAGGACCAATTAAGACCTTCAAGGTACTATTTCCCGAACTAATATTAGAATCACCACTTTCTAGAGGATAATAGTCTTCCGTACGTTATGAATCTTTCTCATTCTTTAAAACCACAAAATAACTTCAAATCTTTGGCCAAGAAAACCCTTTGGAAAAAAACTTGGCTAAGAAAAAGGGACAACACATGGTCTTCTGGACCAATTAATTGTTTCACCTCAATCCACTCTATATAATTTGAGCTAATGACAATCTTTAGTGTACAAAACCTCTATCATTATTTATACAGATTTTATGGGCATCAGCAACTAAACTCTTCAAGAGTTTCGAAGCAGCAGCAATTGTCTAAACTCATTATTTTGCAATGTGTATCTCAAGACCATAAAATTCAGTGTTAATGCCCATATGCACATCAAGCATTTAATAATTAAGTAATCTCAAATATCGACCTATAAAAATTTGAAAGGGAAATGTTTTGATCCCCCCAGGATCTCAAATTAGTATACAAACACTTCAGATGTTCACAATGTAATGACTAGATATTTATTTATTATATAATCAAACACCATTTAAATCAAAAGATTCTCATGTGTTGTTTCTAGGTTTGGCTAGATGCTAAAAAACCTCCAATACCTTAATTTATACAATTTGATTCATAGAATTATATGTTTACTTCAGGTAAACAAATAGAAGGTTTATGAGTAATTGCAAATTCATTGCATAATGTTTCCTCATTCAACTCTTTCTACAGGAAAGGTTAAGAAGTAGTATGGATATAGTTTAAATTAAATTCTAATCATGATCATGTGAAACACATAAGCAAATTGTTCACATTAGATCCTCTACAGGAGGCACTCACCACAAGTGATATTTCACATGGTGCAAAGACCTTGTTCAATAAAATAATATTTGCACAATGTTAATCAAGCATAGTTCTTCTACAAAATAAATCATGCATGTCATCAACACTTATTATAATCACCCAGGTTGTAGTTAGGCACAAGCATCTCTTTTTATATTTCCAACTGTGCTTATAATTTACTGCATTTCTTATTGTTGCAGTTACTCAATCAAATTCAAAATCTTTCTCAAGAATAATTCCAAATATAATTATATTACTACTACGTATAACTTAAGACATAATGTCTTAATCTAATTATTGTAGACATAAAGGAATTCGTATTCATGTTGCATGTTGTGTGCACATGTTTCTTTTCATCATTGTCCTTCAGGGACACACAATTGATATTATAGCAATGACATCCGATTTTCTCATCAACTGCCACATTTACAGAACTTTAAACTATCACAGGAATGTAATCTCAAAATCATTCAATCTCAACTATTGGCACCCCACGTGCACAATATCTTGATTTATGGGACTTCAGGCCCAATATGAAATATTTTCTCGTTCATAAACACCGATCATAATTCACACAATTTTAGGACTGCAGGTCCATCATATTTCGTCTGACCAGACTTTATTATTATGGATTATGAATCGATAGTCTTGGAAAAATAAATCATTGACGTCAATATAATAACTATGATTCCTGTTTTATCAAAGTCCTCTATATGAGCCTTAAAAGAGGAATTCATGTTCTGTATCATATAAATTATCAGCTGCAACATTTAACTTATATCATTCTCTTGTAGTGACTTATTGTAATAAAAACCGGTATTATTATATATATACATAATGACCGTCTAACCATGCTTCATGCATTGGTTGAGCTCAAACTTTGCAATCACATATCTCAGTCACTTTGACAGTTTACTTATCATACTTTACACGTTTCTCTTTTCATATCATTCAATCCTTCTGGGATATATTTCCGACTTTCCAACCATAATATATTTATGCTTATGCCGTTATATCTCCCCCTAATGTCGAAAAATGTGCCATAATGTTTTTGAACAAGGATTTACGTGCATATGGAACCACTTCCAGGGTCCAAGTACATCATTTTTATAGTGGAGTTTCAATATTGGCACACTTTGGCTCATTTTGGGGGTTAGTTATTAACAAATGCCGAATTAATATAAACTACATTTTCTTCATATATTTGGGTAACTTTCTAGCAATTTATCTCAGGCAAAACATTCATTTTATAATGCTAGATATATTTTGTGGGTTACTTTATGTTCTTCACTATACTTCATAGAAGCCGGCAAAGTGGTCTTATACCACTCATTACATGTAGACATTTCAAGAGAGCATATCTTGAGACCAAGTTTAATATTATTAACCCACATTGTGAAACTTCACATTCACTTAACTCTCATGGATCCACTTTACAAGGCCAAAAACTTAACTCTTCATTAGCATATAACACATATTTATACAGGGGGAAGGGATTAGGGTTACTAGATAAATGGGCCGACTACATGGGCAGGGGAGAGTAATGGACATCCACATATTACATAACAATTCAAACAAAATGGAAGCGATTTTCATTATTTGTTTCAAAAAAGAGTTTTTTTTTTCTAGAGTTCCTAATATACATACAAATGTAATATTAATAAATTTGATGCAAAAATATTGCACTTTTATTTTTTATATGACAAAAGCGCACTTAAGTTATAAATACCACACATATTATATGTACTCATTACTATTTACTTGGTACATAAAATCGTTCAATGATAAACTAATAACAATAATAATAGTACAATAAAAGTGTATAATAATATTAATATAATAATGATAATCTAATAGTACTCATTAC